GTGGGTCTACCAGCAGACCTACCATAATTTGGGGGAAGAGGAGGAGCAAAGTTTGACCCATTCCATTCTTTTCTACCATTTATAGGCATGATGGCTGGTTCATACACTTTGTTATAAGTTTCAACAAAATAATATTTGTGAATGTAGTCTTCGACAAGCTAACCCTGGTTGATTATTGCACTTAAAGCATGTTTACACGGAATTCCCGTCAAATCCCACTTCCTGCATCCACAAGTCATTTGCTCTAAATCCACAATGTATTGAGTACCATCAAAGCAAGATATTTGATAATGTTTGTCATCAGCTTTGATCGGAATACAATCTGCCACAAACTCAATATTCTTCTCAACTATTTTCTGGATTTTAGGACACACAGTTTCTTTCCACTTCTTTTGTGCCCTGTCTCTATTTATTTGGAGTCTTTTCATCAAATATTCCATGATCCACTCCATCATTGATAGAATAGGCATCTCCCTAGCCTCCAGGATATTACCATTGAACGTCTCACACAAATTATTCAACAAGATATCTGTTCTGGAACGACAACTAAAGTAAGATCTACTCCACTGATGGGGTGGTTTATCATTAAACCACTCAAATGCCTTAATATCTATAATCTCCATTTTCCTCATCGCTCTCTTAAACTCGTTGGCAGTTGTAGCCCTAGCAGCTTTCCACACAATACTCTTAAATGCCTGACCTCTAAAACCTGCATTTTTGAAGTTGGAGTGCATGTGTCTTACACAAAATCTATGTTCGGCATTTGGAAACACCCCATTAAATGCCTGAATCAACCCCTTCTATTTATCACTCATAAAGGTCCAGCCGTAGTCGCTCTCGATATGCATATCAATCTTGAATAGGGTCAAAAACCATTCCCATGTATCCCTATTTTCCTTACCAACTACAGCATATGCAAGGGGTATATATTGTTGTTAGGATCTAACCCTACTGCTGTCAATAACACTCCCCCATTCGGCCCTTTCAAATGACATCCATCCACCCCAACTAAAGGCCTGCAACCATAAGCAAATCCCATTTTCAAAGCATACAAGAATACATACATTCTATCAAATATACTTTCCCCATTGGATTGATCAGTTCCTATTACGACCGTAGAACCAGGATTAGTTCTTTTGATTTCATCAGCATAACTCCACAGTAGAGAAAATTGTTCAATCACATTTCCTTCGAGCATTTCAAGAGCTAGATTTTTTGCTCTGTAAGCTTGATAGTGAGTGATGTTACATCTAAGCTCTTGCATCATCTCAAGTCTAAAACCTTTCACCTTTCTCTTGGGATCAAATTTAAATTTTTGGACATATTTCGCACACTACCAGCTAGACTTGACATTTTTAACATGGAAATTTGGAGCACATGTATGATGAGATACATATTCCCTCACTTGAAAAGTCTCTTCATTCTTGACCTTAGTTGCATGAATCTTCCAACCACAATTAGTATCAGCACACTTCCCATAAATCCTAATTTTGTCATTCTTTGTTATTTTGACATTTCTCTTGCTCTTTATTGCACATGAGTGTACTGCCTTTCTAAACTCCTTTTTGTTGTTAAATAGCATACCCAATTCAAATGTAGGATCATGTATCTCAAATGAGTTGAAAACAGGAAAAGGCTTCCCCTCAATGTCACTATCAGAATCTTTAGAACTTTCAAAATCATCTTCACTCTCCAAAATATCATCCTCTCCCATTTCACCCTGCTCTATTTTATCTTCAATGCTATTTTTGGTTTGATAATTGCCCACCCACTCAACATCTTTATCTATATTATCATTGAATAAATTGTCGTCATATTCATCTGCTTCCTCATCACTTGAACCGAAAAATGAATGTTACGTGGTAATTTGAGCAAGAAAACATAGCTTCAAGAATTAAGAAGAAATTGAGAGATATGAATTAGAAGGAGAATTAGAAGAAGGATTAGAGACGAGAATTAAGAGAAGACAAGGGAGATTAATTGATTCTTAAACTTCATAATACGTAACATTCTAATTACCCTATTTATAATACTCATAAATAATAATTAACTACCACCCCACTAACCCCTTAACCACACTAACCCACTAATTTAATTCATGTCCACTAATAAAAAACTACCCACTAACATATAATTTGACTAATTCTAATTAAATTAAATAATAAAACATATCATTCCCGCCCGCTCAAAATATCCTTGTCCTCAAGGATATAGTCTTGATATGTGTATGGGATCATTTTGTGAATTCAGTTGATCGGGTGATCCATCACATATTTGAGAGAGTTGTTCGAACTCTTCATGGTAAATGGCATCAATGAGTGTTTGTTTCATGAAACGAGTGAGGGCTTCGGAAGGATCGTCAAATTCGGTAGGACTAAAACGGTAGAGCAACGCCGTAGTAAAATATTCCCCGGCCGACGAGCCCTTGAACCCAATTAACCGGCGATTCCGTTCCAAAGTGAGTCCTTCCAAACGAAATGAATCGAGGTGCACCTGCTGATTTTGGGCAATACTTTGAAATTCAAAATATTGCTTGGCTTGGAAAATCCATTCCGTTGCGTTATCTGCGGCGACTTTTGGAATTTGTTGTTTGAGGTTTGTATTTGGGGCAGGGTATGGAGTTGAGTGTGTTGTAGGTATATTTATTTTTTGCTTGACCGGTAGTGGTGTTTCTCCCACAACAAAGGAGTTGACATCATTTTCGGCTTTGGAGGAGGCTCTTAGAGCTCGAAGTTCGGTGAGAACAACTTGGAGGGTGTTGTGTATTTTGTCGAAATTTGATTCGTGTCGAGCTAGGGTTTCAATAACCTCAGCACGAAACTCAGCATCTGATTGGTTACGTGCCTCCATGGAACGTAACGGCTCTGATACCATTGTTACGTGGTAATTTGAGCAAGAAAACATAGCTTCAAGAATTAAGAAGAAATTGAGAGATATGAATTAGAAGGAGAATTAGAAGAAGGATTAGAGACGAGAATTAAGAGAAGACAAGGGAGATTAATTGATTCTTAAACTTCATAATACGTAACATTCTAATTACCCTATTTATAATACTCATAAATAATAATTAACTACCACCCCACTAAGACTAATTCTAATTAAATTAAATAATAAAACATATCATACTTACTCGAATTTGAGAGTGAAGAATCCGATGTATCTTCGTCTTCAGAATTCATTTTCAGACAACTTTGCTTGCTTCTACCCAAGAAGTGGGTAACACATTTAGATTTTTTTTATTAGAAATATGGGAAAATTTAGGATTCAAAATTCAATCAATAATGTGAAATAAACAATTTGAAGTGGGGATAAAGGGGTTACGAACAAGGGTTTGTGATGGGCTCTTGAATGGGTTAAAAAAAAGAAAAAGTTTAAGCATAAAATAGATAATAAATGAAAATGTTAATTTTCCCCCCATTTTGATATTTAGAATTGGATTTGCCTCCAAAATTATCCAACTCATCATCCACATCATCTACTTTATATTTAATTTATTTATTTTTTAAAATTAAATGCCAAGTCATTAAAGCAACTATTGAATTACCTATTATAGCAGGTCAAATGACTAAAATTCTCAAAGTTTGTAACTTAAAGGACTAAAATTCTGAATTTAAAACATGGTGGACTAAATCTCTCAACTCCTAAACTTACAGGACTAAAAAACTCATTTTGCCTTAAAAATGTGATTTGAGACTTTATAAATATCTAAAAATATGTATTTTGGTCAATTTAACTTTTTGGAAAAATTAGCAAGACCTCCCTCATTTGAAAAGTTATGTGAGGTAGAACTCCATCAAATCAATAATTTGAGAAAACTCATTTCCCTTTAAAATAACCCTCCTCACAAATTTAAATTGTCTAATGTACGGTGTACCCTTTAAGAACCGTAATCTCATTTTTCATTTCTCTCCTCATTTTCACGCATTTCTTCTCTCTTCTTTGCTATTCTTTTTCTTTTTTTATTTTCCACCCAAATCTTTGGTGTCTTCTTTCTCGATCCGGAAACGAAGAACAAGAGTCGTCGCCGCATCTAAAACGACGCTCCTTCTCCTTCTCCTGGAGACATCGCGGAGGGGCTATTGGTGACGACAACAGAGATAAGGAGTGGGATTGGTATTTTGTGTTATTCCATTTGAGGATCAGGAACAAGTGCGGGTGGTGGTGGCGGCGGTGTGGAAGAGGAGGTGGTCGATGTTGGAGGTGGCATGGCGAAGCGGACGACGTTGATGGCGTGCAGATGGTGATGGTTATGGCGTGATGTAGCGACGGTGGGTGACGATGGGGAGCATATCTAGGGTTATTTGGGTTTATTGAACGAAGGAAGCCGCTGTCGGAGGAAATTCGCGGAAGTTGGATCTATGATCGATTACGTTTCAATAGTCGATTAATGCTAAAAAACAGTTGATTTTCATGTTTTTTTTAGTTGTTTTTGTTATCTTCTGGGGTTGGTTGTTATTGTTTGGACTCTCTTTGTTGAATCATGTTGGGTTTCATTAAGAAATTACGGTTATTTTTGTTACTTTTAATAGTCAATTTTATTATTCAAAAATGTTTTTAGTAGTCAAGGCCTTAATAACTATCCTTTAATTGATAGTTAATTAATACACCTGACAACAAAAAAAAAGTTAAGAAATGAAAAAAAGAAAAAAAAATAGAAAACGAAAATTATTTTTAAAAAGGAAAAAGAAAGGGAAAATGGGGATGGGAGAAGTGGGAATAATATAGTGAAACGGCAATTTTGAGATTAGAGAGTATGGGTTTATCTCGAAGAGTGAAATATGGATTGAAGCTCTCTCTATTAATGAAATGTTTGAGGAGTTTTCTCAAAGAATCCCAAACCTTTTTTCTCGTGCGCTTCTCTATGTACGAATTAATTCATTAGTCGAATATGAGTGATAACCACAATTCGGCTTTTGAGATCCTACACCGGGTGAAATACACCGGGTATATCTTTACCATTCATATACACACAAACACACACACACCCACATTGGTATGTGTAGATTAACGGTGTAAAATCACCCGGTGTAACCTTCACCGGGTGTAGGATAGATAAAACCCCACAATTCCTATTTTGAAGTGTTTAATCTCAAGAAATCAATTATCAACAAAAACTCCACAGCATAAACCCATATATATTCTTATTGATTACAAGACTTTTACCTAACCAACCACAACAGTCACCAGTAATCCCCACAAGAACACTCTCCAGATTTAAAGTGATGAAACCGATTAGAATCTCTAACAACAATCGTTCGTCCTGTAACTAAAGAAACGTGTTTCCCGAAATCATGGCAATCCTTACAAGCCCTCAGATTCTTGAAAACCACAATAGGTGCGGTACTAGCTGCCATCGAAATCAGGCCGAATGCAATCGCAAGCCTCTCACTGTGCACAAGAAGCTGTTCTTTTCGATCCGACGTAATAATATCCGACACATCATCTTCCGTTAAAATTTCATCATTTTCTTTACGAGTGTCGCAGAATTTCAATTCTCGCAATTTTGCATATATCTCTTCCGTTTTAGGATGGTGTAAATCACCCACTACAAAGCGGTGTACTTTGCTCTTAACTGTGATCCAACTGCAGCCGATTTCTTTCCTCAGTTCTCGTTCAGACATAAGCTTTCTAACACGTGCGGCTTCGTCCCATTTCCCAGACAAGGCATTCAAGTTGAACAAGAGAATATAAGCAGCACTATCTTTAGGGTCAAGTTCAAGAACCTTCTCGGCAGCAAATTTCCCAAGCTCGTATTTTCGGTGGATCGAACATCCTCCGAGCAGACTTTTCCAACTCATTGCATCGGCTCCAAAAGGCATCGAATTTATCAAATCGAGTGCCTCGTTCAACAATCCAGCTCGTGCGTATATATCAATCATGCAATTGTAGTGGTCGATTGTGGGCTCCACTCCAAACTCGGTACTCATTGATTCTAAGTATTTTTTACCTTCGTCAACCAGACCAGCATGGCTGCAAGCAGTGAAAACAGCGACAAATGTAACTGCATTTGTCCTAATATCAGAAGCATGCATTTGTCTGAAAAGGCTCAGGGCTTCCGAAGCATTACCATGGTAAGCATAAGCAGCAACCATGGCTGTCCAAGCCACAGTGTCGGGTTTATCAATCGATTCAAACACTCGATAAGCGTAATCTAACCTCCCACACTTAGCATACATAGTAATCATGGCGCTTTCACCGTAGAGGCGCGAAACGAGGCATCTTTTGATAGCATCTCCGTGCGCTTGAGAGCCAAAACCGAAGTCGGCAAACGACGAGCATACTTGGAAAATGCTTGTGTACATGAACTCATTCAAAGCAATATCTTTACTTCTTAAAGACTTGAAAACTTTAATGCATTTTTCGAATTCGCCAATTTGAGAATAGCCACATAGGATAGCACTCCACGACACGTCGTTTGGTTCACTTATTACCTTAAATGCTTGACCAGCGGATTCAACATCGCCGCATTTGACGTAGAAATCCACTATAGGTGTACCCACAGAGACCTCACTTTGCAGCCCGAGTTTAACAGCCAAACCGTGAACCTGCTCTCCCGTTTTTCGATCATCCAACGCAGCGCAAGCCTTGAGAGTTATCGAAAATACAAACTCGTCCAACTCAACCTCTTCATTCAACATACCCTTGAAATATATCAATGCATCGTCATGTCTATTAGCTCGAATGCAGCCCACCATCATCGTTGTCCAAGAAACAGCATTTTTTTCATTCATGAGGCGAAAATTCAACTCTGCACTTTCCAAATGCCCACATTTGACATACATACTACATACTGCGGTGTTCAACGACACATTGCCAGTGAAACCAGACTTAACTACTTGACAATGCATCTGTTTCCCGATCTCCAAGTACGACGAATCCGAGAAAGACTTCAAAAGGCTGATATAAATAAACGGGCTCGATTTATATTTTGAATCTTGAATTTTCAAATACAGTTCCAAAGCATTCTCCAGTAGCCCTCCATCTGCATAAGCAGATATAATGATTACCCACGAACCCAAAGTTCGGTCACGCATTTCATCGAACAGTTTCCGAGCATCAGAAAAACTCCCACAGTCACAATACATTTGGAGAACACAGTTCACAAGAAAACCAGGTGGGTTATCTTTCAATCGTCCGTGAATCAACTTTCCAAAATCTAAGGACCTCAGCTTGGAACAAGTTTCAAGTAGGTGTTTGTACGATTGAGGAGCGACGGCAATATTACAACGGTCCATTTCGAGAAGGAATTCATTGGCTTCTTTGAGCTTATCCTGTTTGGAAAGGGAGACTAAATGGATGTTTTCGAGTTCGCCGTGAAGAGGATGGGTATTCTTCAGTGGAGCATTGTTGGATTTGAGGGACACCCATGAAGGAATTTGGGTGTAATTTGCAGCTCTTGAGATCGATAATTTGTCAGTTTGAGGAAGCGATGCTTGCGAACATATTAAATTGATTGAATGGAGAGTTGCCATAGATTTCATTTGCTGTTGTCAGTTGAGAATGGAAGAAGAGATCGACGCACGAAGAAGAATGTCAACATGTATAATCAGATTTCAAACCATGTAAGGAATTTTAGCAAATTTTTCAACTTAATTAATTTTTTCTGTTTTTTTATTTTTTTATTTTTTTGAATAGAAACTTAATTAGTTATATTTTAAAACTAATAATATTAATAGAAAATTGTACTTCAATATAGTGGCTCTTTATATAACTTAATATAATTTTTTTTTTCTTCTTTTTTTTTTCATTTGGAAATTGTAGTGAAAGAAGATGCAACCAACTATATAGTGTAATAATTCGTTATTAAGAGACGTAAATCACACTAGATTAACGAGAACTCATGCTGCACGGCCAGTTCTAGAAGGTACAGAGTCCGCATATCCGACACCTGGACACTCGGCACGCCCGGACACGGTTCAGACACCCATGTCGGGCCGTGTCGTAATTTAGCTAAAATTAGGACACACGTGTCAGGCAGTGTCCGCAATTTTAAAAAAGTTGGGACACGGGCTCTTATCTTTTAAGAGAAAGACCTAATAAAAATACGCATTTATTTTCTTTCTTCTTTGAGAGTCCACCCAAAAGTCCAAAACTCTAGCGACAACAGAGACCAAGAACACGAGCAGCAAGCGCGAGTGGCTATTTTATGCGATTTGGCGACTTATAAATATATTGTTACAATTTATAAATGCACCCCTATATTTTTATAATTTATCAATATACCCCTATAGTTTTTGTATTTACGCGTATCCCCGCGTGTCCGTATCCTAGTTTTTGAAAATGTCGTATCACTGTTTCTGTATTAGCGTATCGCCGTGTCCGTGCAGCATAGACTAGAACTGTCATTTGAGTCGGGTATAGCCAAAGCTCGATGACTCATCCCGATTTTATTTAAGTCGAACCTATGGGTGGTAAATGAGTTGAGATGGCTTGTGAACTCGATGAGCGAAACTCGACAAAAGCTCGTACTCGGGATAGGATTTTTCGAACTCGAGTTTAGGACGAGCTCGAGCCCGATTATAGTTGTTCGACGGTTCGCGAGCTTCTTATGTATCTATTTTTTATTTAAATATCATACATAATAAAAAAATATAAAATAAATACATATAAAAAGTTAAGAAAAATATTAACTATAATGAAAGCTCGATGAGCTTGACCTTGAGCAAGGAAATTCTGATGAGCTCGACTCATTCACACTCTTAGCCGAGCCTAGTTGATTGTGAAACGGGCCGAGTTTGAGCCAATCTATTAAACATGAAAAATTTATGAATCGAGTGTGAGTTTATTTGGCTCAATTCGAGTTAAGCCCAATTAAATGGGTAATTTAAATGTTTATTATTTCACATATCTTAAATATTTTATATTCATAGAAATAACACTAGTGGACAAAAATACTTTGCTAATGAATGAAAATGTGTACTTAAAGCAATAATCTATTCAAGTTCTATTCAATATTATATAAAAGAATAATTTAAACAATTCAAAAAGTTTTTGACATAATAAATATTTATGTTTTCATTTATTTAAATAATTTATAATATTTATCTTATTTGCAAAATGCATTTATAATTTCTTTAAATCTTCACATAGTATTTTTTTCACAAAAGACCGGATTGTATGGTATTAAATATTTGAAGTTTAGTTAATTTTATAGGAATTCATAAGACTTGATTGTTTGTTTCAAACATTATTATGTCAAAGATCTTTCGATGATAGGAGAAATCGAAATTTATCAATTTCATAAGAAATAAAGGGAAAATTAGTAGCATCCCTAGGGATGGCAACGGGTCGGTTCTGGGTCGGGTTTGCCTAAACCCAAGACCCGACCCACGAAAAATATATAAACCCAAGACCCGTCCCAACCCATTTTAGCTTAGACCCAGATCCTCCCCAATCCAGACTCTAACTAAATGGTTATGACCCGCCAGACTCACTAGACCAGTTAACATACAAAAAGTTTAATATTTTTTAACTTTCATAACATTCTGCTTGTATATTTTTACGAAATAAGCTCAATACTAAAATACAATATTTTAAAAAATTTCTACAAGTGATATAACATGAACAATAAAATTAGAATTAATTATTATGACCCGCCAGACCCACTAGACCAGTTAACATACAAAAAGTTTAATATTTTTTAACTTTCATAACATTCTGCTTGTATATTTTTACGAAATAAGCTCAATACTAAAATACAATATTTTAAAAAATTTCTACAAGTGATATAACATGAACAATAAAATTAGAATTAATTATATTTAACTTCGATAATAAGTAAAATTCAAAATGCAAGACAATTAGCGGTGGTCGGCAAGTGATAAATATTACTCACGAGAAATGAGATTTGAAAAATAAAACAGTGAAAATAGGTAAATGAGTATAGACAAAATGGAAATTGATAGTTTGATGA